TAATAGAAAAATGATTTACATAAAACGAGTAGGCATCAGATCAAAAAATACAATATATCAAAATATTACTTATGTGATTGAAATATGAAAAACATGTCACTGTTCGAAAACAACGCACGACCGCGATGTGACGCTTCAGACAACTGAGCGGGACGCGAAATGTAATGCTTGGTTATGATCAGATGACATAGTTCATACACTGTCGAAGGGGGTTTCGGTAGTTAGTCTATCTACCCCTATAGTCAACTATCCCCGGTTTCCCCTATACGAGTTCTGTGCTATGTCGCGTCAATAGCCGGTCTAACCCGCCGCAAAAAACTAGTATGTAATCCAAATATTGCGTCAATTTTGAGACACCCTTTACAATTCAATATTACTCTATTGGCTAAATTATTCTTTTTCCAGAGTGGCTGCCTCAGACGTAAGCATCCGAGCGGGAACAGATAGATACATGAGAGGCGGTGTGGTAATACGTGCTTCAAATTTATATGTTCATCCGAATTATAATAATACTGACCAGGATTACGACATAGGTTTAATCAAACTTGCTTCACCGCTCACTTTTGGTCCAAATATAGCTTCAATATCCCTTGCGAGCAGTAAACCGGCAGTGGGAACGTCGGCTGTCGTTTCCGGTTGGGGAGATTTAAATGCTATTACCCATACCACCCCACAACAATTACAAAAAGTTACACTACCAATTGTTGCTGACAGTCAATGTCCTGATATACGTACTGAAAGAGTGTTATGTGCAGGAGAGAACGCCGGATACAAAAGTCCCTGTTATGTAAGTGAAACTTATTTTAAACTATTTTCAAATGAATTGATTGATATTTCTTTGTTTAATACAGGGTGACTCTGGGGGCCCTTTGGTCGTAGGAAATACTCTTGTTGGTGTTGTTTCGCATGGCAATAGTTGTCGTGGAATATCAGTTTACGCCAACGTTGCCAATCTTCGCAGTTGGATATTATCAGTAGCATCAGCTTAGCATACAACGATGCGTATTTGTGGATTCTGAATAGAGAATATATTTTAAATAACCAACAATGTAAAAGGGATTTATTCCCGCAGATATTATAAATAAAAATAAATAAATAATAACAGTAGTATAGATACATGGGTCTAAAGAAACACACTTTTTTATAAGTTTTTATGCTTACGGTTAATCGTGTAATATACGACGAATTACTCAAGGGGTAGACCACATTCTTTTTGGTTGTGTACAGTCAAAATTTTAAAAAGAGTTGCAGATATATATTGCTAACATTTTTCTTAGAATTTCAAGGCAGTTTAAATAATTTTGCAAATGGTACTGTACACTTTTGACTAGCTCTCGCTCAATGATCAGTGAAGAAATGAGCTACGCAGACAAATAAGATTGAATTTGGAATTATGCTACAGCGCATCCTAATAAAGGGAAAGGGCATATCTCCAACTTCTTGAAACGAACAGTAATGAAGTCCTCTGGGGTAAAGCACTCCAAACGTAAACTAGTCCCCTATTCGGATATCCGCGCGGGGACTACCTCGGGGGATATCAACAAGTGAAATAGGGGAAGATGCAATATTTCACGAGCCCGAGCGTGGAACATTAAAACATTGTGGCAAGCAGGAATGTTAGAAAAATTGAAATTTAAGATGAATAAACGAGAATTAGATAAAGTAGACAACAGTGAAGTCCGTTGGCCAAAAGCTGGATACTTTGGAATAATACATACAGGATCGGTGGAAGGTAATTCGAAGGTAGGAATTGTAATGCACATAATGCAGAAAGTTATTTACAAAAAAACGATAGAATCGTTATGGTTAAATTAAACTCGAAGCCTGCAAAAATAATAATAACGCAGAGCTACATGCCTACATCATCTTGCAATGATGAAGATGTAGAAGCGGTATATGCAGATATAAGAGTGTTAAGTTTAGTGAAAAGCAAGAAAACCTAACAGTTGCAGGAGACAACCGAAGTAGTAAAAATAAACTAAAAAAGATGTAATAACAGGTTCTTTAGGATTAGGCAATAGAAGTGATAGGGGATTCAGACTGACAGAATTTTGTGATAAACATAACTTAACCGTCGCGAATAGTTTATTTAACCATCACGTTAAGAGGCACTATACGATTTCAGGTGACTTAGGGAGATATTAGTTAAATTATATACTTGTTTTGCAAAAATTTAAAAATCAAGTAAAGCTCTGTAAGAGTTATCTAGAAGCAAATGTAGATAGCGATCGTAACCTAGTAATTATTAAAACCAACCTTCAATTCAAAATTCTGAAAAAGAGAGAAGGCAGGAACATCTTGACTAAGAAAAGTCAAAATGTAACGAAACGCATGATAGGCTAGGTACAAGAACAGACGAAATACTAAAGGAGGCGGGAAAAATGAAAGACAAGAACGAAGAGACTGCATTAAAACGTGCTTAAAGTAAACAGCCAGTAATATACCTACTTGGTCTTAACCAAAATGAAAGTAGGAAATCCTATATAACAAACGGGATTGTAAGAGTAATAGAAAAAAGGCGGAAATGCAAAGATAGGACAGACTAAGAAAGCCAAAAAAAGCGATAAAGTAATTAAGAAGGCAGCTAAGGAACAGTGGATTGACATGAAGTGTAAAGAAGTAGGAGATAAATTTGAATGCGGAAGCGAATCCAGCATCGGAAGAGAGAAGGACCTCTGAAGAAGCTCGCCACCAGTAAAACGTTAGTAAACATCTCCAACACACGACGGCCTTTAGACTCAAATCAAAACAGCATCAGTTCACCTACTGGCCGCGAAAGCCTTTACCAATTTGTTTGAGGTAGGTAAAACGGATGAGGCTTATAATATAATTAAAAGTAATTTTAGAGATGTAGGGTAGAGTAGTAATAATATAAAAAACGAGGCAGAGGTCATTTTGGTAGAAAATGAGGAAAAGGCAGGTAGGTTAATAGAATATTCAGAGAATCGCAGAAAATTCAGAATACGCAGGTCATGGGTTGGGAGATATATTAAAGAAAGAAAATAGCGTGGAGATAGGTGAGCTAGGTTATTCCTTAATGAGAGAAGATGATGTAGCATTAAAAAAACTTAAAGAATAGTACGGCGCCAGGTATAGATGGGATACAGGCGGAAATTCTAAAATATGCAGGACAACAGGTTAGAGATCCATTTCTGTTCTATATTCCTTACAAAAATGTACAAAATTTCATGATGATTGATCGGGTATAGTTAAGGCGTGAAATCGACCACATAAAACTAATTTTTCTGTCCGTTGGGAACAGTATTTTTTCTGGATAAAACATACCCTACGTCCTTTTCTGTACTTCTGACAATGTCTCTACAAAATTTCATAATGATTGATTGAGTAGTTAAGGCGTGAAATTAACGACATTAAACTAATTTTTATATCGTTTGGGAACAGAAAAGTAGGGTGTTTTGAGCAGTAAGAGGCTGTGAAACTAAAACTAGGAAGCTATTTTTCATAATTGAAGAGATCCTGGTTCTTTTAGAACAGAAAACTGATAAATTTATTGAGAGCATGGAAAATTTATTGAAATTAAATGAAGTTTCAATTGAAATTATATTCCTCACATTTTAAAAAAGGTGTAATATTGCATATGTACCCATATGGGAATAGGAGGCTAAGAATTTTTGACTCACCGGCAACAACAAAATAATATTGCTACCGATTATATTATTTATATTTCTTTCACAATCCTATTTTACATGAGCATGTCATTAAAATAATTTTTCCTGTGTTAGATATTAATGCATTTATCTCATCAACAATTTATTCCACATTTGATTAAATGACTGACAGAGAAAATTCGCATATTTAAAAAAAGGTAACCAAAATAAAAAATGAGTTAAAAATTATTCCAAATCTGAACCAGACTGACTTAGTGACCCATCGTATTCTTTTCGTCCTACAAATAGAGACCTGAAAACATTATCATTTTTATAGTTTTTAGTACCACTTTCGTTTTGGGCATACCTATTAATTTTTGCTAACTATTCTGTATTCCCATTAATAATAAGCTATTCATTTACTAAATGATATCGTTCCCAGGGTAAATTCTAGGATGGGTTCTATCGCACAAATAATATTCTACATGGTAGGTACATATGGAATATTGAATACAACTAAACCCTGCAAAGTTCCTTTCTAAGATATATGTCTACTTATTTTAGTCACTTTATTAGACAAAAAGGAAATATAATATATATTTACTGGCATTTGTATTCATTACCGCTTCGATGAGTAAGTTTCTAAAGATTGTGACTGTATGTGCTTTAATATCACAAAATTAAAATTTAAACCGAAATCATATCGGGTTTCTGGATGCATTCAACTACAGTGTAATATGTCTGGACAAAAAAGTAAAGACTATTTTTTTATCAACTATAAAAAAACACATTCTATAAAGAAACGTTTCTTACTTGTTTAAAGAAAAGTATTTTATCGTGTTCATGAACATAAAGTAGAAAAAGAGAAAAAACCGATGTTAATGGAAAAGTCAAATGTAATGTCGAATCCGATAAAAAAAAATAAAATAAAGAAACATTTTGAATTGTCGGTTCTTTGTTTTTCAGGTAAGCAGCGCACATAATGAAAAATAATAAAACTTTTACTACAGATAACCTCAAATCAATGAGGAAGAATTGTTACTGCCGGGAATTGAACCCGGCTCCCTGGCTTTACGCACCATTGTTTTTTGCAGTTTGTTTTTTCAGAGCAACACAACATTCTTTCTTTTCTATCAATTTCCTTTTCTTGAACAAAAACAAATTTATTTAAATTATACTTATCTATATACAAAAAAAAGAACATCCACAGACCGATGTCTAGGTTTTAAATTACAAATATTACCTGCTATGCTCACAATTAAATAAAAAATGGGAAAATTACATAAAATTTACCTACATTTATCAGGAACTATACAAATTTGAGTGTATGCTTAGGATGATGACACGCGCAATTTTTTGTAGCACTCTTATCACTAGACATTTTGGTAAGACCGCCATTTAAATCTTATACATAACTCATTTATTTTTTTTTCTGAAATTCCAAATAGTAATTAGCCAAACCTAATTTAGTAACTGTTTAATTATTGTTTTATTTCAAATAAAATCTTCGTTATTGTATACAAAAAAAGAACATCTACAGACCGATGTTTAGATATTTACCTTATAAGTACCTTTTTTACCGATAATTGACATGCTTAAAATTAAATGACGACTAATTTAACTGTCCGCTTAGGTAGCACGGGTATTTTACATAGCAAGATTATCAAGAGAATTTTCTGGTACACTTTGGATAGGTTTACAAATAAATTGATAATAAAATCAAGTCAAAAATTTAATTTAATAAAGAAATACTCAAAATCAGATAAGAAATACCTTTATAAGACCGACTGCTATTTCAGAACTTATACATTTATCAAGCAAAATGCTAGGCGTGATAATTTGTGTGGCCTTTGCGTCTTTTACTTCAGGTAAACTTTTATTTTCCGTATTCAGTGAATAATTATTTAGTACTGTACTGTTTGGTGTTAAATATAAATAATATTCTTTATAGCTTTCCCCTACCATCAACCTGGATTGGAATCTGTCAGAATTTCAGGAGGAAGCAATGCAACAATTAGGGAAATCCCTTATATTGTACAAATGAATCAGGATTATACTGATATTTCAGACTGTAATGCGTCAATCCTTTCAAGACTTTGGTTAGTTACCGCAGCTCACTGTTTAGTCGGGTATGTTATCCAATAATCTATATCTATATCTATATAGGTATATAAAAATCTAGTGCCACAATGTTTGTCCGGGATGAACTCCGAAACTACTTAACCAATTAGTATGAAATTTGCTTAGCAGTGTTTAACTTGGTCCAACTTAAAAGAAAGGGTAGTTTTTGACCTCAATGTTTATTATAGAACAGCAGTTTATAATTATTTACAAATTCTATTAGTATTGAAACATGTATGTAACCATAGGCAACTCAACATACAATGGCACTTGTAGGCAACCCGACATACATAGTGACAAAGAAGACCAGATTTTCTAGACGTCACATTCTTACTTAAAAGATAGGAAGGATATTTTTTGACATCAATTTTCA